AGATATAATATCCTACCGCCCTATTGCGTGACTGTTCGAACCCACAATTAGCACAAGGAAAGGGCACTCTTAATGCCCAAAGGGCAGAAAAAGATGAAAATGAAAATAAAACTTTAAAAATAAGTAATAAACTATGATTATCCTATTGACAGTAGTTGAAATTAGATAATGTTCGTCATCATTCATCTCGAATTAAGCCTGAAGAAACAGTTAAGATCGTAAGACCTGTTCTTATATACTGTAGTTTAAGGTGCTCTTGATATTTTCATCTCTTTGGACGTTCTCTGTCCTCCTTACTCTTTAACTGATGTTCTAATGTAAACTGATGTAGCCAATACTGGTCTATTCGCAAAATACTGTTTATTCACAGGCAATATGATCGTGTTTATTAATTCTATACTATTGTAAATTAAACTTCTTTTATTATTTTTTTTAAACTAAAATATTGCCTTATGTTAAGCTTTCCTTTTTCATTTGGGATTTAGGGGAGATCGGCATGTTAAGCTTTACTTAAATTTTGTGTAATAAATACAGCTGTAAACTGAAAAAAAAGCTTTGCATATTGTCTATTGGAATGTTACCTTACTATAGAACTGGTTAAAATCAGTTTGGAAATAAAAATAATTAAAATAATTACAACTTTACAAGAAGAGAGAAATTGACGAAGTTGCCCCGGGTATAGGGGCAAGATCGGCAACTTCTCTCTTTTTGTAAAGTTGTAATTATTTTAATTATTTTTATTAAAGTTGCCCCTGGTATAGGGGCAACAGTAATGGGGCAAGATAGGCACGTATATAAAATTATGTTATTAACAATGTATAAGTTGGAATTCACTATTAAAACAAAGAAATACAAATCCAACACCCATTTAATATTATTACAACGAAATGCAAGTTCAAAGACATATATACATGAATAACAAATGCAAACATGTTTTCATTTATCATCTGTTTGATTTTTATCCTTTGCTTCTAATGTGGCTTTATGTTGCCGATCTTACCCCGCTAGTCATGATTTCGAAACATTAAGTACAACCCTGAGAACAGAATGCCAAGCCACGATCTGGCCACGTGAATAAGTTGAAGTTACATCCTTCTAACAGGAAAAGTAACTTTCGTTATCATGGAATTATAACAAAACCTGCCAATTCAATATAAATGGAAAAAAAATATTATATGGAATTGAACGAAAATGAAAATTTGCTTGATAATTCAACTACGCTTGTTGGAGAACAATAAAAACACTACACTCAACAAGCCACCAATAAAACTCAACTGCCTAACCTATAACCAAAGTCTCCTTTTAATTTGTTTTTAAAAAAAAGCGCTTGACAAACTTGCCCCGCATGCAAAATTGCCCCGATCTCCCCTATCCAAGATTTGCATAATTATAAATTTAAAGAAAGCATTTAAGTTATTTGCAGATAAAAAGAATTATAAAATAATGCTTAAAAATCATTCGTGAGTGCAGAATCTAATTCTAAAAATTATTAATTTATTTATATAGTAAATCTAGGAAAAATGGCATACTTATAGAAAATTTATTTTTCTAGTCTTTTATCATAAAAAATAAATATTACGTCTAAAAGTTTCTATAGATATAAATAAATTTTTCAAAAAATTCATCATTTAATAGAACAATATGCAATTATATTTTTATACGAATCACCCAATAAACATTATATTTTAATAATTTTTATTGTTCTTTTTTACTACCTGAGGTGTTATATTTCTAGACGATAACGTTTATTATTTGTATATGAATAATATTAAAGTTATAAATTTATTTATTAATATTTATATATTTTAAAAATTCTTAAAACGATATATTGAATTATTAAATCACTTTTATGTTCATATTTGTTCGCTTTTAAATTTAAAGAGATAACACGATTCGAAATTAAATAATAATTTATTTATAGTAAGACAAAAGAATTACATTATTTTCTATTTTATAACGCCCAAATTATAATAAATAATTTAATAAAAAGTTGATAAAATTTTTATATAAATCATAATAAAATATATAAAACTTTATAAATATCAAATTTATTTATTTTTTAACGAATTTATTAATTAAACCTGTTAATAACCTAGAAATTAGGACAAAAACATTTTTTCAAATAAGAAATTACTTGCTAGATTAGTAGAAAGATGTTATAATTTATTATAATTATATTAAGAGGAATTTTTAAAGAATGTTTTATATATTTTGAGAGAAAAGACAAGAAAAGATCAACTTCGCTAATGTTTTAGTTAATAAAAAAAAAATCAAAATTCCTTGCTGTCACACGAAATCTCCTATGATCTTAAACAAAAATAAGATTTGATAGTAAAGAATATTGGTATTTAAGTCAATAAAACAGTTTTATTGGCTCAAATAAAGTAATATATACTTTATTTAAGTATTGACTTGTAATAAATATCAAGTTTATGAAGTAATTACTGTAAATCAATGTGAATAAAGCACTTATTCTATTTCAGAAGATAATTTATTGATATAATTAAAAAGGACGATTTTATAAACTTTAATATTCTTTATAAATCATCATAAATTTTATTTGTTCTAAGATTTAAATAAATTATATTTTACAAATGAAATGATCTTAGTATCAGTAGTATAATTGAAATGAAATGTAAGAGTTAAATTTCAAAATGTTTTAAAACAGTGTTTTTTTTTTATAATGTATTCATATCTGAACTATGTTTTATCAACTTCAAAGCCAATATTTAAATTATTACTATTATTATTTATTGTTGAAACTGTGTTTAAAAAAATTACACAAGTAAAACTGAAGCTACTGTAAAATTGATCTTTATTAAATTGTTCAATTCACAAACGAACACAGAAACACTTTTAAAAGCATTTCAACAGACAAGTTATTTTTTAATTTATATTTCTCCATTTCTTATTCTTTAAAATGAAATTATAAATCATGTAGTTTCTTTAATATAAAAGTTAGGTGATAATTTATACAAATATATAGCTTAATAATCAATTGATTTCGATAATTCGATAAAATTAATGATTATCATCTTAACTGATTTTTGTTTGTTTAGTAATTCATAAATCTCATATTTTCAGAATGGAGTTATTGTAAAAGAGTCTCTTTCAATTGTCAAAGATTAAGTATTGATTCTAAACCGAGTCCATTTTAATCTGAATTTAAATCGGATTTAAAAGTTAGCATTATCGTAGTATTTCTTCTCTCTCATTTGCATTGATAGAATCCATTAAAACGACTGAAAAATCCATTTTTCAGATAAAATTGCATGGCATCACCAATTGAATCTGTTTTGTGTGCTAATGATAAATATTATAAATATAATACGATCTTTAATTTTAATGGAAGTAGTGAATTAATTGCCGAAAGGTTTTTTTTTATGTTTCCAGAAAGCTGCGAAGATTTAAATGAATTTAACGAACTGATTATTTAATACTAACTTTATTTTATGGAACCCGCTCTGGGGAACCGGAGATCGAATCCAGGAGAGCCATTTTTCATGGACAATCTGCCCAGATATAATATCCTACCGCCCTATTGCGTGACTGTTCGAACCCACAATTAGCACAAGGAAAGGGCACTCTTAATGCCCAAAGGGCAGAAAAAGATGAAAATGAAAATAAAACTTTAAAAATAAGTAATAAACTATGATTATCCTATTGACAGTAGTTGAAATTAGATAATGTTCGTCATCATTCATCTCGAATTAAGCCTGAAGAAACAGTTAAGATCGTAAGACCTGTTCTTATATACTGTAGTTTAAGGTGCTCTTGATATTTTCATCTCTTTGGACGTTCTCTGTCCTCCTTACTCTTTAACTGATGTTCTAATGTAAACTGATGTAGCCAATACTGGTCTATTCGCAAAATACTGTTTATTCACAGGCAATATGATCGTGTTTATTAATTCTATACTATTGTAAATTAAACTTCTTTTATTATTTTTTTTAAACTAAAATATTGCCTTATGTTAAGCTTTCCTTTTTCATTTGGGATTTAGGGGAGATCGGCATGTTAAGCTTTACTTAAATTTTGTGTAATAAATACAGCTGTAAACTGAAAAAAAAGCTTTGCATATTGTCTATTGGAATGTTACCTTATTATAGAACTTGTTAAAATCAGTTTGGAAATAAAAATAATTAAAATAATTACAACTTTACAAGAAGAGAGAAANTTTTTTTTAAAGTAAAATAATTTATTGAGCTTCGAAATTCTGTTAAAAGTTTTCTCTTTTATATAAAACTATTTTTTTAAATTATTTTTTAAAGCTTTACAGTGGCATCCATTAAATTAATTACCTTTCATTTTTAATAATAAAATATTGGTATCCATTTAATGTCATATATATATATATATAAATTTATAAAAAGTAATTTTCACAACATGTTTTCTTTTTAATAAAAATTTTATTTAAAAAAAAATACATCTATATCATTTATTATTTTTTGCATGTATTTTCAGTGTATGTGTCTTAACTTAAATGTTACCTTACGTTAAAATGTGTATAAAAGTAAAGCCAATATTATTCTTATGCGTCTGTTGAAGGTTGCCAATGTGTAGTTTTCGACGATACTTATGGCAAAGAATATGGGGTTTTCACTTCCCCAAATTGGCCCACCCCATACGAAGACCATATCGACTGTCTCCTCTATACTTTCATAGGGCAAGACGAAGATATCGTTGAAGTAACATTCGATGAATTTGACGTCCAGAAGAAGCAAAATTTAGAGTAAGTACCATTGAACAATTCATATAATTTCCTCCAGTGGTTCTAAAAATACTATAAAGTTATATTAAACAATTTTTATCAAGAAAATTTAAAACGATAAAAAATTGTAACACATAGCCCATTGCTTGGTTGTTACTATTTCTATAGCTTTGTATCACAATCTTCTAAAGAACACATTTTCTAAAATTGGATTATTTCGTAATTTATATAGGTATAGATTATTGAATTTCGTAATGTATTGTATCAATTTTCTTGTTTCCTTTTATAGATGGCCGTGGTTGCTTTGGTGATGGGTCTTCACTTCTCGCTCTTCATAGCAGCTAAAGCAGTAAACGCAGGTAATATTACTCTCTATATTATTTTCTAAAGTTTAATTTTATACACGGATTTGCATAAAATTCTGATTAGATCAAATTTCTTCTTCTTCTTTTTCTTCTTCTTCTTCTTCTTCTTTTTTACAACCATTAAGTTTGCCAGCATTCTTTTTTTTTGTTTTGTTATTTATTTCTTGAAAGTTTTAATTTAAAAGGGCTAATTTTAAACTTGACGTAACTTGTTCTATTAATCCTATTTTCATTAAAAATAGACAAAGCCGAGTTAATTCTGAATGTTCTTTGTAATCTTACAAATGCATTAGCTATTGACAGAATCCTTTGATCAGTAGAAAATTGTCTTTTTTTGTAATTTCTCCCGGTGTTTTTTTAAAGTAAAATAATTTATTGAGCTTCGAAATTCTGTTAAAAGTTTTCTCTTTTATATAAAACTATTTTTTTAAATTATTTTTTAAAGCTTTACAGTGGCATCCATTAAATTAATTACCTTTCATTTTTAATAATAAAATATTGGTATCCATTTAATGTCATATATATATATATATAAATTTATAAAAAGTAATTTTCACAACATGTTTTCTTTTTAATAAAAATTTTATTTAAAAAAAAATACATCTATATCATTTATTATTTTTTGCATGTATTTTCAGTGTATGTGTCTTAACTTAAATGTTACCTTACGTTAAAATGTGTATAAAAGTAAAGCCAATATTATTCTTATGCGTCTGTTGAAGGTTGCCAATGTGTAGTTTTCGACGATACTTATGGCAAAGAATATGGGGTTTTCACTTCCCCAAATTGGCCCACCCCATACGAAGACCATATCGACTGTCTCCTCTATACTTTCATAGGGCAAGACGAAGATATCGTTGAAGTAACATTCGATGAATTTGACGTCCAGAAGAAGCAAAATTTAGAGTAAGTACCATTGAACAATTCATATAATTTCCTCCCTTAAAGTTAATATATAT